TGGCCAAAAAACCAAAACTTGCATTGTCGTCAATGTGCTAATCGCTATCTCACATCCTTCTTTGATTATCTTCTCAACCGCCTCCTTTTTCGAACTAGATCTCCGTTGTATTTTTTTCTAGAGTACGGTGCTTTAGCCTCTTTTTATGCAAAATCCATTCCTTTTTGAAAAGCTTACCTCAATCTTTCCCTCTTTGTGTCTGTACTACTTTACACTTTCTTTATCATTCCAACGAATTCCTGGTTCTATCGTTCTCTTTTTTATCACAATGAGGCTTTGGTCTAGTGGATGTCAGACTTTGCGATTGGAGCGATTTTGCACCAATTGCAGGAGCGACGGATCGCTTGAGCGATGCGAGCGACGGGAGATTTACGAACTGATGGCGCCGAATTATCGTTGGTCGGCGGTGTAAATCTCCCGTCGCTCGCATCGCTCAAGCGATCCGTCGCTCCTGCAATTGGTGCAAAATCGCTCCAATCGCAAAGTCTGACATCGGCCAGTAAGAGGAGCATGAGGTGCGAGAATTCATATCCCTTAAGTAATCCATTTTTGTCGCATGGGGAGGGAGCCCCTGAAAGAGTGAAGAAACGGAAGCGATCTGGTTCACAACGAGAGATTCACCTACGAAAATCGGAATTTCTGTAGGCTGCATCAAGGTATTGCATCGTATATCTGCTTGATTGGAGTGGGCCAGGCCACGCTGTCCTGCAGGCACTTCCTACCTTCTTTCTGCACCACCCGAACGCCTGCGGAAACCCAAACTTCAGGCATTGAATGGGTTCTAGTCCATTTTATGCCGCTTTTTCGTGAATAGAAACATAAGCCATTGCTAGTCATAACTATCCATATATATTACTAGCATAGAAGTCACCGATTTTACTCTAAACACAACTCAAGTACTTGCATCGCTCGCCTTATTGGACAAAGTCAGAAGGAGGGTCTGTTGTCGACGGCCGGGCATCTGCTGAAGCAATTGCTGTTGACAAAAGAGAACATGTTAGAGCCTGTCATATATACTGAAGCTCTCCACTTAGCAAACTAAGACATGTCAAGAACTGTGACATATTGAGAGGAACTGACCTATTTCTGCCCTACCTTTTTTTCCTTTTTTCCACATCCAGAAAAAGTGGCGCACCACAAGATATCGGGCTTCCCCTAGGACTAAGCCTCGGGGTGGGCAGGAGCTACGAAAAAGATGAAAATCACTCACTCTGGAGTCTCCCCTTCCTCCGCCAAGGCTTAGTCCCTTTTCTAACAAAAAACAATCGTTTGACGCGGTTTTGCTTACATGCGTTGTTGTCGCATGCTCGCATCTCTTGCGATAAGGCCTTATTCTGTTAAGAGCACTTTTCTTCATAGCTTTAGATGAATGTTGGTTCTAACATGTTCTGGTTTGTTTGCTGTTAGAAAGCGTTGCTCTTTCTAACACGTTTTGTTTCGTTAGCAGGTTGCAGCAGTTGATGCCCCGCCATCGGACAACTGACCCCAGAAGGATAGCAAGACAGAGTAATTAGAACCAGAGCAAAAACAGTAAAAAAGAAAACTTGGAGGAAAAGAAATCCATCCGAATTCAGCCAAAAATCCCTAAGCCAGCAGGTTCCTTGGCAACATTCCAGTTTGACAGTAACTTGCAGTCTGCGCCGTTTTCGCTGTGAGACCTAGCGATAAACGAGAAATCGTGACCTTTAGCTTCTTAGATTTTCTTCGAAATCCTTTACACTGCTTATCGTAGTGTTTTTTTCCTAGTTTTCGATCTTGCTCATCTTCCTTAATCGATCATTCGAATTATACACGGTCACTGTGTCTTTATTTCGACTACTTTTCTTCTTGAACGTCCCCAAGTGGGGAATTTTTTCCTATATCTTTGAACACCAACAAAGGAAGTACACTGCTATCTGTTTATGTACTGTTCGGCAAAGAAAAGCTGGAAATGAAGTGGCCTCGCACTTTGCTCCTAGCTGGACTAGGTCGAAGGTTCTTTGCCAACTGCTTTCACGAATGGATTTACCTTTTTTGGCACTCTAAACATGCTCAATTGCACTGCTTAGCTAACTGTTCCCTCTTGAATACTGTTCTTAAAATATGCAAAATGAATTCGAATTGAAGTAGCTCAAGTGAAATGAACCACATGTGGTAGAAAAATGTCACATTCATTCAATATTCACGTTAGAAGTCGTTTCAGTTGTAGGTACTGGGTATTTTCAAGTAAAGAGATAGAGTGTTGTCTATAATCACAGAAGGGAGTGCAACGCGTCGAAATTATCCCTTCCTCGCGTCTATGTTGTGAGAAACTAAATAGAAATTTCCAGGCGTTCAGACTTAGTTTTACGTGTATGGGATGTGTTCCAGTCCATTCATAAGCGTGAGGTCATTTTAGGTTGCCCCATGAGTTCGTGGTACATTTTTGCACCTCACGCCAGAACTTCATTTAGCGATTTCTAAATGCGACCAAGTGGGCTATGAATAGCCTGCTACATACCTTTAAGTGAAAACCGAAGCATGCCCACCCCAGCTGTCTTCTTCGAGTTCAAAATCGCAAAGGAGAGCCATGTTTTTCACGCTTTGGTTTGTGAACTTCTGCTGAGCCACAAACTGGTCGAAGCCAGAAGTGGCATCTGCATAGAGATACATCTCCTTGTCGTCGTTCACATGCGGTATCAGAATGGTCAAGCCTGCTTCGCTTGGGAAACTGCAGCCAGAGAAAATCCTGACCCGAGAAGAAAATCCGCTGTCCAATTTGGACCTGCTGTGTTCTCCCATTGAAGGCAACTCGCGCGAAATACGTTGCCATGTGATTGCCACACTTGTGATTTGGGAACTTAGTTAAGAAGTTTTACTAGATTTACCGTGCAGCAGTGTCAACCGTTCGTTCGCATAATTCGATTGAAAGGGTCGCCTTTGTGATTTCGGGAAGGAGTCACATTTTGTGCTCGAACAAGGTTGTCAAAAGGCGGTTGTATTTTACTGGTTATTCGACGAGTTTGGGAGTGTGACGAAAGTTTATGATAGTAAGGTAATCCGAAACGAGGTGAAAATCGGTGGATTTGCCGCTTCATACCAGTAATCTAATTTACTTTCCTTGGTGAGGTGATCATCGTGATAGGGAGGAGGGGTATCATATTGGCAGAGAGGGGAAGCTTCCTATGTTTGAAGGTAGTGGGAGGTCGGCTCCCTAAAGAGGATCCCGAAATTTTTGGAAAAGTGCGAACGCGACGGTTGATCCTGCCGTGCAGCGGTGACCAATCCTTTTCCGAAGACTGTACACATAGATGCATTACAAATATGCCTGTTTTAGGGCGATTTTAGTTGAAAAAAGGCCTGTATCACCTGTCGTCCCGTTGATGATCGAGTTGCTCGCCAGCAACGTCTCCATTCGTCCCTGTCGCGTGCAGAGTTGTCCAGTGGACCCTCCTCGCTCGAGGGACACGAAGCCTTCATTCCTTTCGTTCAGAGCTTTCGTGAAGAAGTCTGACCATCGGGCCGGCGGTCGTCCAGGTGTTCGTTTGACGTCCCGAGGGATCCAGTCGGTAACCGCTCTGGTCCAACGGTCATCGCAAAATCGCATGACGTGTCCGGCCCACCTTATCTTCGATTCCTTGGCGAAAACGGCAGCGTCCCTGATCTTCGATCGTTGGCGTAGTTCGGAACTCCGGATTCCCCTCTGCACTTGCGTGTACAGGGTTACTCCTAGCATCGTCCT